CCTACTGCTCCTGCCTCCTCCATTTCTCGAGTCCGAGTGGTCCACCAGGTTTCCTTGTCAGCACGCAGGCTCCGCTTTAGTTCGAATCGACAGCGTACCAATGCATAATCAGAGTCCACGTAGGTATTCAAAAAACGAGCGGCAATCCAGGATGGAACCAGGCCATCTGCAACTTATAGCTATGTGGTCAATTTTGATCCATCGCTGGCCAGCTACAGGTCGTCAAGTGGCACTTTGTCATCCACTGTGTTCAAAAACCGTGATACTAAGTAACAGCTGATGTTTCACGCACAGTTCCAACGGACGCTCACTGTTGTCCGACCGTTCGGAGTTAAGCCCATACTTACCACCTAGCCGAGCTTCTGAAGAGCTCAGACGCACTACTCGTGCATTCATATCCGCTGCAAGTAATATGATATCTGGACTGATAGCACTGCGTAGCAGTGTGCTCAGTTCGTGGTAGAAGGTATGCTTGGCAGCATCAGAACTGCAGTTGGTGAAAGCATAGGCATAAACCAGAAACAAACAATGTCTTGTGCTACTTCATGAATCAACCTTGGTTGTGGCATGGGACAATTAGCAATAGCTTGTGTTTTCTCAGGTGGGTGATCGGTGCCGTCGCGATCTATGCGATGGCCAAGGAAACCGATATGCGACTGGTCAAAGACGCATTTGTTAACGTTGATTTTGACACGGTGCTCGGCAAAGTGATCGAAGATCAGCCGAAAGCGAGGCAAGTATACTTTGCGATGGAAATCTGTCATAAGGATGTCGTCGAATGTATACGAAAACGAAATCGAGTTCCCTAAGGACTTGGTCGATGAACCTCTGGAAAGTTTGTGCAGCGTTTTGCAAACCAAAAGGCATGCGGAGCAATTCATAAAGGAGATATCTTTGGGGGCAACAGGAATCTGATGGTACGCCAGGATAAGATCGATCTTAGAGGAAAGAGATCTACGGTATAAGCGGACGGATAAGTTGTGAATGTGAGGAATGGGATTTTTGTCTAGGACAGTAACACTGTTCAGAGTAGGGTAATCCCCACGTGGTAGCCAGTCCCCGCTTGACTTGTTAGGGATCATTGCACTGAAAAGGCCATGAGCTATTGGACGGTCGCAAGATTCCGAGACTCAGCATATACAGGAATTCAAGCTTAGCTGTCGCGAGTTTGTCGGGCGGCAAGCATCGAGGTCGATCAACAACTAGAGGTCCGTTAGTAACGATACGGTGCACACTTTGATGCTTGGGTAAGAAAACTCGTCGAACGACTGATATAAGGCAATAAATTGATGAAGGAATTCACTTAATACGGTATCGGTGGGCAGCGACATTCGGAGGCCGATTGAACTGATCGAGGCAACTCTGCCAGGGACGGTAAGAGATGCGAGTCACAGAGTTTCCTGCAGTGTAGGCCTGCAATCGTGCAGCATTTCGTTAAAAAGTCGACGAATGATGTTATATTAATCGTCTGTGATGAGGAAGACGAAAGGAAAGGATCGCCTTAGTCTGAGACCAAGAGTTAGCAGTTTCTGGCAGTATGTGTTGATCTTGGTGCTGTTAGCCGCCTGAAACATAATTCTGGTAGGGAGTAAGCAGCGTTTTTCTAATCCTCGAAGTGGAACGCTTATTTCAGCACCCGTGTCAACCAGGAATAAGGGGTTGGTTGAGGAGACGTAGAAATAAAGCAGGCGGCTAGGTTGGCCAGCTGCAACTGTCGTCATTAGTGGCTGGATTGATCCTTTCCCTGCTGCGGCTCGCTAGATGCTTTAGGGTGAGTGCAACCAGCGCTACATTTCCTAGCTGGGTAAACAAAACAGCAGTGGTAGTAACAATAGTGACGTATCACGTTCCGCAAAAAGTGCGTCAATCTCGTGAAAGTGGTCTGCGACTTCGACTTCGAAAGTTCGATCAACCTATGAGATAGTGGGTCAACAGAATCGTTTCCCGGGAACCAGCCATAGGCGAAGTGACAATATGACAAATGGGACGCCTGAAAAAACATTCGTGGACATTGTCTGCTGTTTCTGCTAAGCTGTTTAAGGGAGACGTCATCGATGGACTTGGCGAGAATCGCTGCAGTGTTCGTTAGGAGACATTTTATCCAAACCTGATGCGAAACACTATGGTTGACCTTGGTGGGACCGACTAAGTAGCGCATGTAGCGGAGTAGTGAAGGTGTGATCACCGAGCTGAAGTCGGGCTTCATCAGAAGCGGAGGGGCACTTTAGAACGGCAGCTTTAAGCTTATCGTAAGATGCTAAGGAAAAGCGTGCCCGAGAAGTATGTTGATGTTATGCGAGCACTTTACGCGCGTAGCTCGAGCAGAGTGAGAGCTTACGGCAAGCGATTGCCGCCCTTCAATACCTCCAGCGGTGTAAGACAAGGATGCCCGCTGTCACCTTTCCTGTTCAACGTCGCTATTGACGAAGTCATGGAACTCGTGTTCACAGGACACGAATTAGGTGTGGAGCTGCTCCTAGGTGAACGAGTTCTTGACGGAGTATGCTGACAATAGTGCTCCCATCTGTGACAGCTCCAAACGTGTCAAGCAGCACTGGACAGATTAGCACTGGCTGTCACCCGTTTTGAGCTATGCTTTGCACCCTACAAGTGTAAAGCTTTCCTTCAAGATTGTCAGGGACCGCCCACTGCGCTGACCCTTGTTGGGGATCAGCTAGAAGTCGTACAAAAGTTCAACTACCTAGGTAGTTGTATCAGAACCGCTGGAATTGAAGACGAGGTCACAAACCGTATAGCAAAAGCACGAAACGATTTTGCTAACCTTCGCCACCTATGGCGCCGGCGCGACATCACACACACACACACTCTCTGAAAGATAGGGTATCCAGTGCAGCCGTACGTTCGACCTTACTGTACGGTTGTGAAACCTGGCCCCTTAGATCAGCAGACATAAAGAGGCAAGTTATGTTCGACCATCAGTGACTTCGCAGTTTGGCTCATATCTGGTGGGAACACCGTGTGAGCAATGAGCGTGTTGGACGCCTTGTTTATGGCGCAGGAAGAAGAAGCGAAGCGCTCAGCACTGCTATTTCATGCACCAATCTCCGATGGCTGGGCCACGTGTTGCGCATGCCAGCCCACCGACTTCCGCGACGTGCATTGTTTGCGCGTCGGGGGTGCGGATGGAAGAAGAGGTGAGGTGATCAAGCGATGACTTGGTCAAGAGGAATGAAGGCCTTTACTTAGAAGGTGGCCTCGGTTGGAGCCTCTCGGCTCCCTGGTTGGGGACCGAAGGACGACGAAGACGTCTGGTGGGATAAACTTGTTGACATGGCGTTCGTGTTGAGAGTTCATTTGTCCATCCTCTTCCGCTTATCCTCCCCCTCCAATCACGATCTCAATTAATAAGCGTTAGATGACTTTTTGCCGGCTGTTAGCTCTCCGGAACGATGTCCATTCGTTACTGGTGACTAAGCCGGCGTGCCTTTGATTCATTTTCTTTTGTATTGCGGCACCACAGATGAGATGTTTTCCCCTGCAGCTTTCGTGTATAAATGAATGAATGTCGTAAGATGCATCAGTTGGAAAAGAGTCAAGCAAGTCTGCGACATCAGCGGCGATACAAGTGAGGATGCATGCACCAGGAGAAAACATAATGGACTACGAGGTAATACAGTGACAATGAAAAAGTGCCTCCAATTGTAAAAACCAAAAACGGGTACGGGACGTACCGAAAGCAGATACAGAAAAACTAACAGACTTTCCTGATATAGCCTCCGAGAAAACGTGTGCCCAAGACATGGCAAATAATGAAAAAAACGGGACGCTCTGCGTACAAAAAAGCCTAAAGAAAATAAAAAATGCAAAAGTGGGTCACCAAATATGTAGTGAACGAGCTAACACTAAAAAATAGTTAGTAATAATTTAGTTGGCTTAGGCAAGACGTCGTTGACCCACGATAGGCTACCGATGATAGTTCCTAGCCGTTGGAGCAGAGATCACCGCGTAGGGCGAACACAAAACGCACGCAGCAGACCGGAGCGACAACGCAGAATGAGATTCGAAGAATGTATCGCTCGAGTTAATTGAAACAAACTGTACAATAATGACGGATATAGGAGCAAGAAAGTGCAGTTGTAAAGGTGAAATGTACAAGCGCTACACTTCCACTCCTAACCGTTAAAAGTATCATACAATGCTGGCAAACATGGAGTGGTGATATACTGAACTTGCTGCAACTGGATCATACAACGAACCAGCTTTTGCTAATAAACAACCGTGACTTATTGTCAATATTGTCAATCCGCCCAGCCTGGTCGCTTTTTAATTCACACACCTATCAGTATCGTGTTACGTTCCCTATGTGTTGAAGAGGAAGCGAAACCGGGCGGAAAAGCGAAATTGCACGTGAACTACAGTCATTGCAGTATGCAACTTCAGTTACTTAGCAATCCATGAGTCGTCAATACTCTCACTCAACATTAGAACTTCATGAGTAAATGAAAAGAGGGCATCGTCGTCTTTCCTTCCCCCATTCTTGATATTGCGCCGACCACACCACATCGCCTGACCTTGGTCAAAAAACCGCGCAAAGTTTGATAGTAAATTTGGACACAAGATAGCAACATGCCCAATGTTTTAAGTAACTGCTGTCCTAGCTCATCGCGTTACTGGAACACGCCTCTACTGGTATACACCTCGTGTGTTGTGAATTGATTTGACGACAAAGTTGACCGAAGCATACATTCCGATCGGATTAGGTGAGGCGCTGCACCCGAAACAATGATGAAATTCTGTATTAACACATGTGGGAAGAGCTATTTTGGTTCACAGCGAGCATTTATGAGATCTGAAACAAGAACTTCTCATTATAATTCCACACAAGAAAATCAGGACGTACGCTGTGAGATGACTGCGTCATTTTGCACAAGCCTATAGAGCACAAATATGCAAAAATGAGTTAACAAAATATTGGAAATAGATAGCCAATCGTTAGAGAAAAATGTAGACAACGTATGTGCTGCAATAGCGCGGTTGGATCAAGGGAGTTTAAGTTTAGGCTTCGGACTGTAAAGCTCGGTTCGGTGACTTTTCATCTCCCGATTGCGGTGGCTACGGCTGAAGCGTGAGGGGCAAAACGGTGGAGAGAGATTACGATAATATCAGGTGGGAGGATTTTGACACAGACACAATGAATCTGCAAAAGTAATACGAGTACACACAAAGTTGATTCGCAGGTTCATTAAATCGAATAGCTCTGAGACTCAATTGTCGATTCAATAAAAGCTGACGTTAATGGGCTGGGCAAAAGTATACGCAGTTGAAAAGGAAACCAAGGCGTGGGGTAAATTACAAATTACGAAACTAGACTGGATCCTAACATAGTGCGATGGCTTGCATCTCTCTTTTAAGTTTTAAAACTACACTAGGTGGTACTCACAGGCCCTTTGAAAGCTACTCCTACCAGATTGGTCAAGGGTTAGCGCTCATACGAACTCGGTTTCGTTGTCCTCCAAGTTGGAGATTGGAAGAAGGATGACGTCCATTCCTGCGAAACCGGACTGCTGCCATCCTCCAGCTGTCTTGTGGACAGAATTTTGAGCCAAAGGTTTTGGTTGAGGACCTCCTGACTAGGTCTGGCCGCCAGCGCAATATCACAGCCCACGTACAACCATGACCAATTTCATCAAACCTAAACCCCATCCTGCATCGGCTGTCGTGCAGCGTAAAAATGCCTCCTTATCAATTGCAGACAGCAGAGCAGATAAGTGAAAATATGCTACCGCTGATGTCAACATGGTTTCGTCTACACCTGCTTCTCGTACTCCTCTCTAGAGTCCAATTAATACCCTTCCTTCTATTAATTTCACTTTCAGTGAGAGAAGTCACGATACAACGAGTCTGCGACTATCTTCCCGCCCCATCTAATAGAGCCTATAGGTAACAGCTCCTTATAAGACCATGCTATTCCGTCTCCCTGGTAGTGTTCAACGTTCGTACTCCAAAAAGCAGGTCAACAGGCTGCATTCGCACGCATATTGAAGGCCCTCGGTATCCAGGTCTGTTGTGTGTCTGAAAGCCCTCACGTGGTTGTTGTACTAACTGCATCTGGCTTGTCCTCTCGCTATTGGTTGCAAACATCTAGAGACGCTGATACGGCGACCAATGGTTATGCTGGATTAAGCATCGTTCTTAGGTCCAAGACTGAATCATCCTTGGTTGACTGGATTCTCGTCAGCAGTTGTTTGAGTGTAGCATGTCTGATTCCCGAAGTAGCGCTAGATACTGCTTGTTTGCGTTTCCCGCCCACGCCCACACCAGCTACAGTTCTGATGCTGAAAAGGACACCTTCTACCACGAACAGAACACGCTGCTACGCAGTGTCACCAGTTCAAATATCGTTGTTGCGCGGGATATGATTGCAGAAGTAGGTCGTCTAGACTAGGCGACAAGTACGAGCTTAAGTCTGGACGGATGGATAACGATGAGCGTCTGTTGCAACTGTTCACCGAGCATCGGCTGTTTTTCGTAGTAACGCTTTTAGGCAGTGGGTCAGTTGGCGTCTACCTACAGTTGGCCAGCGATGGACACAAACAGATCATGTACAACAGGTGTCGTAGTTCCATCCTGGATTGTCACACGCTCTGAAATACCCAGTCGACACTGATCATAACTTGGTACATTGTCGGTTGTCCATGAACTTTACGGAGAGCCGTACAAAGCATCACGGTCGATTGACAACTGAGTTATCCCAGTCCTCGGTCATGAAAGCCTACCAGGACGTCCTGCGTACCGAACTCTCACCATCCCGCCCTAAGAACACCGAGCTTCATTGGAATGGGATATCCGCCGCCTGTTTGCTGCACTATCAGTTGTCACCGAACAAATCACTGAATACTCGACAGGTCGGTGCATCTGTTGGAATCTAGAGGAAAACTCTCGGCTGGCTCTGAGAACAATGAAACCAGATGAACTAGTAGGCGCGGATTAAAGCGGAGTCTGCTTGTAGACAAGAATGCATGGTGAACCAATAGGGCTCAAGAAATAGAGCATTTATCGCAAACTCATCCAACTGATCCATACCACTGATCCCAGGAAACTAAACGTCAGTGAGATAATCATTTCTGAGTCTCTTCCTGTTCAGGTAGTGCAAGGGGAGCCATGGGGGTTAGTTGAAGCGCCATTGGAGGTTGAGGTCTGAAACGCGATCATAGCCCTCAGCCATTTTCGCGCTACTGGTCCATTCCTCTCGCTCCCGCGCTATTTAAATATGGAGGTGAAGTCCTCTGCACTGACCTTCTTGTTCCAACAAGTAGGGAAGGAAGAGACAATTCCAGCTAACTGGAAAGAATCGATCACACGGAAAAAAGACAAAAAGGATAGTTGTACCGAATGCACTAATCACAGGGGCCTAACGTCAGTGGTGACAAAATTACTGACCCTAATTCTCGTCCATCGCCTCTCTGTGGAACGGGAAGCTCGGATTAGGCAATAGTCAGGTTTCTCCCAGGACAGGACTGCATGGGTCATATATTCACTCTGCGACACACACGCCCCATAGACTGACAATAGTTGTGCTCCTCGACTTCAAGAGTGCGTTCGACTCAGTTGATCAATCCATTACGTTCGAAATACTTGTTCAGAAAGCTGTTCCCATGAAATATGCGAATATTTTAGGTGCCTTATAGTCCAACACCACAGGCAGCGTTAGGGCCCACGTTGAGTTGTCAGACATCTTTCCAACAACAAGTGGTGTTCGTCAAGGTTGTCGAATTCTCCAACTTCGTTTAACTTCGTCGTGAGCTAAATCATGGAATGTTCCTTTGCGGAACGTCACGATGACGGTAATGAACTACTGCCTGCTGGAGAATTAGTTCAAACTGATTGCTGGGTCACTTTGAAGCCCTAGTCGTATGTTCTTGATCAAGCAACGATATCGTCCTGCTGTTTGACGATGTTGGAATGGCCCAGTAAAAGCTGGATAACCCTCTAGAGTGCTCACATGATTTGATGTGCGCCTTGCAAGTTCAGTGCTGTTGCAAGACAGCCAGCCCATTGATGATCCTTGCATTCTTGATAGCGAGGAGCTCGAAGTAGCAGCGTCAACAACGATGGGCGCATAACCACTGAAATCAGTTCCCGTAATGGAGAAGTAGGAAGTGCGTTATGGAAGCTGAGACATATTTGGGTCAGTTTGAAAGCCAGTGTTTACAAAGCCACAGTGAGGGCCATGCAACACCATGGGAGTGAAACGTAGGCACATCGATGTGAGGATCTGAGGTGCCTTCAGGTCTTTAATCTTAAGAGAGCAAGAACGAGCATTTTTACGGGATAACCTGAATTCAGATTACTTCGTGTTTTCTCATTCAGCCGCTTACAGACAAATCGTGGAAGGAGTAAAGGAATGCAATTGAAAAAGCGGTCAATAAGGAAATCAATAAAATGAGAAAATCAAGGTCATCGCCTACGTCTTACCAGGGCAAAGCAAGACTGGCCACAAGGTCGACCTGTTTACAAAGATTAGGTTTCATTCATCGGATGGCAGAGGCTTCAACGAAACGAAGCAAGCTCGCGTTGTTTTGTCTGTTGATAACCTTGAATGCGTCACGTGGATATTCGAACAAGGTACTATCGAGTAGATGCTGAGCGACTGAACTGCAGGGAGTTTAGGGCCACTATTTGCCAGGTTCCGTGGAACATGTTCAATGATCCTAGTTGATAGCTACCGCTTACGCCAAGGCATAAAAAGGTGCTACTACGCAGCTGAGCTCGTGTTGTTACATCAAATCAAGAAGCTGTTCCATGAATCCAACTGGGATAGGCCTGACTCTCAGGTTACCGCCTCATGTGTTTAGCAATTCATCTGTACTTGCGGTAGCATGTATATTGGCCGAACCGAGAGAACGCTATCAGCTAGGATCATGGAACATGTTTTACGGAACCTGGCAAATAGTGGCCCTAAACTCCCTGCAGTTCAATCGCTCAGCATCTGTTGGAAAACCCACGTGACGCACTCAAGCTTACCAACAGACAAAACAAAGCGAGCTTGTTTCGTTTCGTTGAAGCTTCTGCCATTCGACGAATGAAACCTAATTTATGCGAACAGGTCAACCTTGTGAACAGTCTTGTCTTGCCCTAGTAAGACGTAGGTGATGAGCTTGATTTTCTCAGTTTTGTTGATTTCCTTATTGACCGCTTTTTCAATTGCATTCCTTTACTCCTTCCACGATTTGTCTGTAAGCGGCTGAATGAGAAAATACGAAATAATCTGAATTCAGGTTATCCCGTAAAATGTTTTTTCACTCTTGCTCTCCTAAAATTTCTGAATGCAAATGGCCGCATGAAGGTCTTTAATCATTGCTGATTGCGCGGCATCGTTGCTGTCGGATAGTGGCAGCGTGTTTGCAATGATGTGCGTAAGCGATTACCAGGTAGTGATAACCAGGCTAGTTCCTTAGAACAACAGATAGCACTAAATATGTTGCGTTAATCTGGGCACGCACTACGTATACCCGGTCACCACTTATCGAGAGGCTTGTCTTGTAATCTGACAGCGCGGGTTCGAGCCCGCGTAGAGACAGGGCGACCCTCGCAGTATCCTTAGCCCACGTGCAACCGGTGGTGGTTACGCGGCAGCGAAGCGTCGGTACTGCGTACTGCTGATGCCGTTCTTACCGAGAAGAGCCTTGCTTTGTTTACCAGATATAGGGTGGCGCAACGCTCCAAGTGGGCAATAGTTAACTTGGATGCGAGAAATGAAGTCACTGACGACCAATTTCGGTGTCGTCGGTCTGCCCGCCTTCCCAGATGAAGTCTAGACGACCCATTTTGTGCTTGGTCCGAGACGTTACAGGACATAGCTAGCATTCTGAACCAGTGGCGCGTCTGTTGTCGTCTCATAACCGAACTACCTGGTCCAAGTGTGTTTGGAGCCGAGTCATCTGCGGGGTAACGATTGATTACGACGCGGGGCAGTGAACGCTATAAGGGGATTGTCTCGCGGATGCCACTTTATGTTTGCAAGATAGCCAGTTGTTTGCAATGATACGTTGTTGACAAGGTAAAGGAACATGGTAATAAGGTTTTATGTCAGGTCTCCCTTCTCCTCGCTCCTTAGCCATTACGACTGTACGTCATGTTGTTTGAAGCTCCCCCGTAACGGCGCCTTTTCTGTCGTCGTGACCTTGACTGCGGATGTGTGATCCTGCGCTCGGTTGCTCGTAGCCATTCGGCTAGTTTACGGTGTCTGCTTGCTAACAAACTCTTGATTCGTTGTTAGTCAATATTCGTTCTTACTAGGTGGTTTTCCATCCACCTACACTTCCTCTTTCTGCTTTCCATTGCAGGTATTCCGGTCAATCGCGACCTACACATGGTGACGAATACAGAAAAACCCATCACCCCGAACTAGACGGACATTACAGTGGAAGAATGGAGCATCAGTTCAACTGGATGATGTACTATCATTGTTGTTGATGATGATCATGAGTCATGGTAAGGGAATTCAAACACGAGTTTTCATAACAAAAGGTGCAGATCCGTCCGTTGAGAGTAGACTGAGGGGAAACGCATGCGTTGGACAAAAGAGGCTTTTCATCAGAATGGTGGATAAAGGACGGAAAGAATCCGTCCGAATGCGTAAGTAGCTTGTCTGTGGGTGCTGTAGCAACCGTAGTTAAAAAAACTAAAGTGTACATATCAACTGTGTTCTGCAGAAATTCGTCGGTAAGAATAAATAATTGTAAACAGACTGTCCTGTTCCGATGCTGTTAAGCAACGGTGATCCGGGTATGGAGGTGGGACGCGTAATCGGATGAAAGTTAGTAGGCAAAACGGAGCCGGGGAGAAAGCGTTACTATTTTGTCAGAATCAGTGATGGTTCGCGCAGCTCATACTGATATGAGATAGTTGATAACTTTGGAGGCAAGTGTTGCTTTTGGAGGAGATCCTGGTCCTGTGCACGGCGGCAATAGATAGTGAGATGAGATATATGACAGCATAAGCATGCAAATTACCGCCTTTACTCATAGCTCAGTAACACAAGTCGCTGTCCTGTCAACGTGAGCTCAAATCCCCAGAGATACGAGAGAAATGACCGCTGCTGCCGATGAAGCCAACCAGCACGAAGTAGCCGACCAGCGTCATTCGGGACGTGCAGTGCATGCGCAGCATAAGTGAGTTGCGATGATCGTTATCAAAAGAAATAACCAATAACCAGCCCTAAAATCTTTCTATACCAGAAGATGCGGGGCAGCTGAAGCGTGTTATAAATAGGGAAGTTGTGAGGGGATTGAAAGAAACGATTGCACATGCGATGGGTCGTTTGCATAGGATATAATCTCTTCTTTCCGTTCAGAGCACAATCAGAAGAACACACGGGAGGAAGCCGCCAAAGACAGCAGAGATGATGATAAAATTCGTTAAAGAGCTTACCGGAAGCAGGGATGACAGAAGAGGTCTTCATCGCAATCGACACACCGGAGGTTAGCGTCCTCGTTGCATATGCAACACCACGGAAGCTCATCAGCACTATCTTTGGCTTCGTCACTGTGATAACCAGCGCGCATATCGATTTTTGCCTCATCAGTTAACTTCAAAGAAAAATGGGGAAGAAGATACCAACAAAAAATTCAAGCAACGCTGCTGTTAGCATTTGTTGTGGATAGCTTCGGAATATTAGTGGAAAATCTGTGCGGTAGCTGCTGAGTATAAAAACACTACTCGGGAAATGTGGAGACTTGTAGGGGAGCTGTGAATCGAAGTGATGCAAGCTAACTGAGATATAGCACGACCTAGATTTCAAATTGTGTAGCCCAGCCGACGTTCCCCATGGCTCAGTGGCTCAAGCTGCTGACTAGTTGGCATCTGCCTCCAGCGGTCATGGGTTCGATCCCCAGTAGGGGACCGAGGGAATGCGCACCACTGACGAGCCCTAATAAGGCGAAATGCATCTGGTGCTCTTCCGGACTAGGCTGTGCCATGTAACTTGTGGGAAGCCGGGACGGAAACACTAATTACAATTAAAAAATCCTCCTACTCCTCAGTAGTAAGGTAAAATGTCTCGAAAAACCCGGTCAGAGTGGATTATGAAGCTACACGATTATTGCATGGTTGGCGGCATCCGGTTTCGGATTTGATTGTCACTGTGCCCAGCCACACGACGCCTGCGCCTACAGAGGGACCATGGGTGGCTTGCGCTGCACCACCCATAGATCCAATCATACACCCCATATCCAGTGTAAACCAGAAGCTATAAGACCGGGAGGCATGAGGAGGGGAGCCACGTTTCATCAACGGAATCGGCCCACACTCCTTCACAGGCACAAGTACGCTGTAGTTGGGAATCAAGTGCACACAAGGCGGTGGCTGGACCGTAGTCCGCTCCACAATGAATACATGGAACCACTCTTCGAGCCTAGCACGGCCACAAGGACCGTGCACCTCGTCCCCTCCAGCAACGACCAACTGTCTCCTGGAGCCAGATGGACGAGGTAGTAAGTAATAGACAGGTACGCACCTTGTCAGCATGCACATCAAGCGCAGCCACACCGGGGATATCAAGCAACAGCCAATCACTTGAAACGACAAGATGAAATAAAACAAATTCAATAATGCATACAGATACGGCGGCATAACTCTTTGCTAACTTAGCATAGTAGGGTCACAAAAGACATGAGCACCAAAAAACAGGGCGTGTATCACGAAAATTTGGAAAAGTAGCCTTCACATAGAGTTCCATGACATGAAAAAGGAAGAAGGCATCAGCAGTACGCCGGTACGCAGTACCGACGCTTCGCTGCCGCACACCCACTACCGGTCGCACGTGAGCTAAGGATACTGCGATGGTCGAGCTGCCCCTACGCAGGCTAGAACCCGCGCCGTCAGATTACAAGGCAAGCTTATTACCTTTAGGCTACGGGCTGGCCAAAGATCGTAGGCAATGGCGCACTTACTGTGGGACTTTTCTCTAACTGTCGTCTTCCCTTTCAATGTATTTTTACCTTATGTGTTGTAGCACTCATGCAATTGTGATAAAGTATTGAATATATATATATATATATATATATATATATATATATTACAAGGAAAAACGAGAATGAAAAAGATGAGTAACAACATTGGGATGTAGCACGTTAGCGAACAAGTACCAGACAGCTAGATTATGGGCAAATAGACCAGACATAGTAGGTTCAAACAGTCTGTTGGGACATTCTTAATAAAAGCCGCCCAGAAACTGAGAATCAGTGAGTGGGTTGAACGTGCAATCAAAACAAATGATCCGTTCTGGACATGTATAGTGCTGCTGTTTCAGAAACGACTATTCGATTTGCTGTTGACATGTGCCACAAGCAGATAATCCCATCTCATATCCAAGACCTGGATTGCGTGGTGACGTGGCAAAGTATGAAAGGCGTCATCACGTTTCAGCTCACAAGCACTTGAGAAATGTAGATGAAAACGACCGGCTCAACCATAGACACAAGCACCCCTCACGGAGGATCCGAGCACAATCAAGGGACAGGGTAAGCGCAGGTGAAGACACCTCCCGTCGACTGCCATTCTACTGTATATTATGCAGTGACGGACGAGAATGGACGTGGCAAAGTATGAAAGGCGTCATCACGTTTCAGCTCACAAGCACTTGAGAAATGTAGATGAAAACGACCGGCTCAACCATAGACACAAGCACCCCTCACGGAGGATCCGAGCACAATCAAGGAACAGGGTGAGCGCACGTGAAGACACCTCCCGTCGACTGCCATTCTACTGTATATTATGCAGTGACGGACGAGAATGGAGTCTGTCACTTATGTTAATAACTGTATCAATTCGATTCCCAAGCGACTAGCACAAATGTCACGACTGTTCTCCATGAATGTTATCACTACGAACGATTCGCCCTAGCAATACGCGGTCCCATTATATGACAAAGGCTAGAAGAACTATAGCAAGCAGTTTCGGAGAACAACAGTACCTAACTAAAACAGTGAATCATGACCAGCAGCACGGACGCAGTTGAGTTTTACAATGTATCTTTTTAACCTCGCAACCAAACTGGAGTCCATAAGTTGTTTGGTTATGGTTCCACATCTTGGAATGGATTTGGAACCGACAGGAAAGTCATCATTTAAGGTGATCAGTTAATGTAGTTGTTGGGTGTAAGACGTTCCGTTTTGATCCAAAAGCTTCTACGAGTGAAGAAGAAGGATCAAAAGCGAGAAGTTATGCGCCCACCAACTATACTAACCGGTCGTCCACCAAACTTCCATCGCATATCCACGAGACGTTTCAGGAGCAGAAAGTTAAGTGTTCTCAAAGTACTCCATCCCACTGAAACATACTTCGTTCGTTATTGTGAATTAGGTGACCTGGGCTAGCCCTGATTCAGGAATATAATATATATAATAATATAATATAATATAAGTTCCCTGAATCAGTGACGTGTAGAAGCTGAAAGACGAGACAATCGCTCGCTGTTGCTGCATCCTTCATTCCCTAATCGCCGCCCTCGGAAAAATCCAGTGACCAATGTGTTGTGGTTAAACAGTGTCCCAACCATGGATGAAAGTGAAACTTAGATAAAGGAAACAAAATCACAATACGCAGGATAGCATGAAATGCGTATGTCATCGTGCTGAGATAGGTTGTTGGATGTCAGTGAAGATGAATGTGTCATGCGCATCAGTGATAATCGACAGGGAGTTGTAGCATGATAGCAGACGAGGCGCATACCCTACATCAAGTGGCTGTTGACGATGGAGGGAATGGGACGTTTGCCTTGTCTAACCCAAAGGTGATCGGTTCGTGAATCCGGGCAGATGTGTGGGTGAGGACTTCGTAGTATCTCCAGCTCACACATGCGCCCTGTAGTGGTAGTCGCGTGGCAATGAGGCCAGTGCAGCGGCGCACCGGCCTACTGCCAACGCCTTATGAAAACAAGATACCCGAAGCAAATCAATTTCGGGTGTTGCCCGCTAGCAACACTAAACTTTACGATCGACCTCGTAAGTGTTTGTACTCAGCAGGCAGAGACGGTACGACTGCGACTTGGGATGTCACCGCTAAGCCACGACAAGCAACGCTTGTCAAAACGGTCAATGACTCATTGCAAATGTCATTTTGAGGCACGCGTTGTGTCGATGGATTACGACACGCAATCTCAATCGAGATCATGATTCAAACTGAGTCGGACAGCTGTCGTTTCGGTCATTACAACTACTCATTAACCATTGTGGAAAGCGTGTGATCCTTTCGGCCAACGACCGGCGAGGTTGAAGCTTGAAAAAGAAGCAACAGTTCTGTTTGAGAGGGGACACCGTCATGGTGCACAAACCAAAGCAACAGAAAAATTAGTTAGTAAACCAACGTATGTGGCGCAAAAGGGCTAGCGGGATGCGGCAGTAATCTAAAAATGTATAGATTTTACAGAAATGGGTGCTAACTCAGTGGAAACCCTCAGACAGAAAACAAGGAAATCTTTGACTTGTTACAGAATTCAGTCCTTCAGGGACAAGCGTTTATTCGCAAAGACAATTGAGCGAAAATTACAGCAGGTTTGGCAAGCCAAACTCCTCGATATAAGTTGCACGTTCAAGCACATAACTAACGACCCTCCTGAGTCTATGAGATTCCGCCTTTGCTTCCGTTAAGCAAACGGTGAATCACTCATATGAATATCGGCCAATCCGAACCCAGTAATCGAATCCGTTACGTCCGCCTCCCATGGGTTGTCTGGCTCGCTCGATTGGTCCATCCGCACACTCTGTGCTAACACTCCCATCACACAGCTATTGATCAATCAGGTAGGTGTAACCCTCAAGGATCTCGGGAGCCCTACCCAGCATAGCTTAAAAGATCAGTGCGCAGCCCGTAACGCCAAGTGATGTGGACCGCATAGCGATTTATGCACATGGTGACTGGTTTTAAGACTGATAATCAGACGCATGAGAAAAACAGTGGGGTATAAATGGAAAATGAAGCGAGTGAAGGCAATACGAAGTAAGCATAACTTTTGTTTTATCTTGCGCTGGATTCAGAAATTTTCCGTGTAAAAATGTAACATTGCCTACTTGTTTTATTAAAAGATCCATCTTATCGGAGGGAAGAGGCTCATCGGTCTTTGGTATTTGCACGAAATCCCTCTCTTTTAGTTTGCGCAAACGTTCCTCAAGCTCTTCTTGAGAAGGAACTTGGTCTATAGGGAATAAGATTAAAGCCATCGACAGTGACAATACCTGGATGGGCCACACCTCTCAGAGCATCAAACCGGAGCGTCAAATCGTCCAATGTCTTTGCCATGGATATATAGACCGGTTAGATGACTTACAGGAATATCACAGGGTGCTAGGGTCTCTGAAGACTCAGGAACGTTACGCTCAGATGGAACAGTTTCGGGAAACCGCAAGTTGGCAGCAGCCATGCGTCTGAATACGAAGCGTTATTCAGTGATTGCAATATACTGAAGAAACATTTTCGGTGGTTCCAGTTCCGTACCTACAGTGTGGTTAGGGCTGCAGAAGAGTACAATGGCCCGGTACCACGACTTACTTCTGGATTCTGTCGTAACATGCAAAACAAACATGGTGCAATTTATTTTCACACTGAGGTAACTTGGTTTTGTACCTCAAACATTTCGAGCAAAAAACCTTTTTGCAGCTTCTGCACACATCCTACAAAAAGTATCTAGATATGACATAAATGTACGCACTTCCCTGTTGAATAGAGTAAACTTGCTACCGCATTGAAAGCAACTCATCCTAATGATAGCATAATAGATTGTAAGTATATTGCATGCAAATTAGATCCAGTGTTGTAGGTGTGCACTCTTTCTGAAACCCAGAAAATTTGTACAGTTCGAGAAGAATACTCTAGGTCACAACAGTAATTCAAAGGTAAATATACTTCCCTTCATTGAAATATGGCTGGGTTGTCGAACGACTTGGTTATGGCACCAGTTGGGAGACTCCAATTTATGCCATTCCAGTAAATGGTTCAGCGGTAGTGTTACAGGAAAAGGTGGGTTTTTCACCTAACAAACCTTCTGCCTATTAAAAGTCACACATGTTAGCTTAACAACACTGCAACGTGGCGGATGTGACTAGCTACTAAATAAAGTAACCATTGCTTGCTTCACCCTGACGAAGCGTTGTATTTCAGCAACTTGATACTATCAGTATGGGGAGGATTGGGTCCCTGCTTGGTGACTTGCCGAACAAAAGGAGTATGAACAGAGATATCGGTCACCAGCTCACAATGGGCGCGATACCCTGAATTCGCCCCGCTGCCTTGCGAGTAGGATGTTTGGCCAAAAGCTTTGCGTGTGGTCCTCTAAGTCAACTCCCTACTTCGGCTTGGGCAACCGTGCAGCATCTCGCCCTCAGCAAAAACAACGATCACACTGTTATTTCGCCGCACCCTATCGTTCCTGTCTGTCACCTATTACTAAACTACATTGTCAACCATTCTTTTGTTATTAATCCTTGTTACCCTCGATCTGATCCAGATGCCAGTTCCGCCACTGTCCAGAATGTTTGTCCTGAGGTTTTCCTTCGATCTTGGTCTTCATTTCGGGCGGTAACCTTCAGTGTTCGAACACATGCAGATCGCGCAGCAGGCGTCTAGCACGTACTCTGAAAAAATGTGTCAGCTGTACGCCGTAGAGGCGCTTCGCTGTCGTGCGACCACCAGTCGCACGCGGGCTAAGTATGACGCGAGGACGTCTACCCCTACGCGGACTCGAGCCCGCGCCGCAAGATTACGAGACAAGCTCGTTACCACTAGGCTACGTACCCTGAAATCCCACGCTACTGATATATGTTGCCTTTCTGAACACCGTTGTAAGAACCAAGCGCTGTGTTCAAGTTGACATCTTTGATCAGCCAGGAAACCACGTACAACCTGTTTGTCTATCAAAGCAGAAGCAGCTGCAGCTGGTTTAGTTGGTGTTGGTGTGGCACTAGGCAGCAAATCTGAGGCTGTACTCATGGAATGGTTTCCAATTAACAGCCGACTAGGATGTGTAGTTCGACTTTAAGGGTCATGTGCAGTTAACAGGCAATCGCGGTCAAACGCGCAACCTGTATGTGGTTTCTGCCGAAGCGCCAAATGATTGTAGCTGCGAATGGAACAATGATTTTTATCGCCATCTTCATCAACTGTTACGCAACGCCGCCAAATTGGATGCTGTTGTCCTCGTAGGTGGTTTCTAAGTACGAGTTGGTCGCCTGTCACCAAGTGAATATAACCTAGGCGATAATCAAACGATGAGAACCGCTCGAAGAACGAAACTAGGCTGCTCACCTTGTGTGAAGACAACGGTCTATTTCCCACAAGCACAAAATTCAGGCACTCCAGGAGTCGTTCTACCACCTAGCAGAAAACAGACCAAGCGGCGGGGTAACAAACAAGATAATAGATTATTTTGATATACTATCTTGATTCACAGCACGCGCTAATGTGTGATAGTATATGCATGCGATTAGGAGGGCCTCTGGAACGGAAGCATTGTAGGCTTGATATAAACGGGCTAGCTGGTCAGTCGGTTCAGCGAGTCGAATAAATGTAATTAGCACACATTAGCTTGTGTTTCGTCTACTGACACTGAACATCACTGGGGAGTCTTGCAGCATGCAATGTCAAGTTATGGCCAATCAGTCGGTGCATTAATTTATCACTCCAGGAAGTACTGGATCTCTGCGCAGTTTCTGGTACTGTTCGACCGCCGCCGAACCCTGTCAGTGAACTCAGACCAGCAGCAACTTCACCGCACTGTCGGTCAGCAACGCAAAAAGTCTTAGCGACGATCGGGAAGTTTGGTAGTCTCAACGCGTCTTGGAGATGAAGGTTGCCGCTCTCAGTGGAAATACTAACAAAATGTTCCGGCTCATTCGAACAGCTGGACAGGCAGCGAAATCTTCTGTGAGACGAACGGGCTGTATATCACCAACAGATGCATGGACAAATGGGAGAGGCATTTCCAACCTCAGCTCATCCTCCACCTTATCATCATTACACATTAGCTGAAGGCGAGAAACACAAGTCATCTATCGCGCCGCGATACAAAAAGATATAGGAAAAAACGAGATATTAACAGTATAGAAGACAACAAGCAGGTAAGGCATTGCCTAGCAGCATATTACGCTTCAATAGAGAGATCGATGTTGGGGGGAGAAGATAGTTGGGATGGGGAAGGGCAAAGAAATTCACAACACAAGAGCTAACGAGGTGGGATGTCAACTAGCGTATCCAACTAAACGTGCTTATGGTCATTCGGTCCTCAGTCCGGCAGCTGAGAGACATCAACCAACGCCGTTTAAAGTGATGGTCTTTATACCTCTTGACCAAGCCATCGCTTGGCCTTTCCTCCTCTTCTGCAATCCACCTTGTCCGGGAGAAGATAAGAATTCCCCGGAAAATCCAGTATTTCAGGAAGTAAACGAAAGTACAGGTGTGTAACAAACGTGAATCAAACCCTCATGAACAAAAGTCAGTGGGATACTCATAACCACAACTGTCTAACTAATTTTTACAATTGTTTTGTGTGCAAGGTGCTTAATAACCGCTTACTTTTTGGCGTGAAAACGGCAACAGCCATTTTTAACAGCTGATGGATATTATACTGGCAGGAATTCCTGGAGCCGCCGCATAGCTGGATGACATCATCGTAATGGGTCGAACAGCGGAGGAAATTTTTGAGCGCTTAAAGATGCTTCGTCGTATGGTTTCCAAATTCGTGAAGACAAATGTACCTTCGTCACTCCGACCATCAAATGCCTGTTTTATCTTTATAAGAATAGTCGTCAACTAGTTCCGGCAAACATCGAAACCACACGGAAGATGCCTCTGCCAGCGGATGTTCAATCGCTACGTTCCTTCTGTGGTCTAATCAGTCACTACAGCGCATTTTTGCCTGAGCTGCAGCGTCTGCGTGCCCCGCTGAACAAGCTTCTGACCAAAGACCACGTCTGGAACTGGACCAGTGAACCTTTGGGTGAATCAAGTGATTAATGGCTTCAGACTTGTTGTTGACGCATCGAATCACGGGAGCAGAGCAGTTATTTCGCATTTGTACCATTATGGATCCCAGAAAGCGAACGCTCAAGCGGTCAGGACTTTGAGAAAAGCCGAGGGAAACTACAGGCAGATCGGGAAGGAAGTGTTAGCCATTAGCTTTCATCAACATCATCATACACGTTAGCTAGAGGTGGGGAACACCTCAGCTAATGTGCCGCAATACATAGAAAAAGGAGAAAAAATGCAACTGGTGCAAGCTGGCTGAGCTACCGGTAACGGATGGGCATCGTTCCGGTAAGCTACCAGCCGGCTGTTGTTCACCCAAAAAAATTATTATGCAAAATTATATAAGGCTAAATAATGAGATCGTGGTTGGAGGGGGAGGCTAAGAGGGATGGGGTGGGACAAAGAAACTCACAGCACGAACGCCACTGAGGTCGGCTCCTAGCCATATCAGCAAGTGTGTCCAACCAAACGTGTTCATCGTCTTTCGGACCCCAACCAGGAAGCCGAGACGCTCCAACCGAGGCCGGCTCAGAAGTGAGGGCCTTCATTCCTCTCGACCAAGTCATCGGTTGGCCACTCCTCCTCTTCTTCCATCCACACCCCCGGCGCGCAAACAACGCACGTCGCGGAAGTCGGTGGGCTGGCATGCGTAACACATGGCCGAGCCATCGGAGCCTGATGCGTGAAATAACGGTGCTGGGCAGTTCAGTTCCTTTTCCTGTGCCATAAACCAGGCGTCGAAGACGCTCGTTGCTCACGCGGTGTTCCCACCAAATGTGAGCTAAATTACGAAGGCACCGGTGGTCGAACGTAACTAGCCTCTTCAGGTCCGCTGCTTTCAGCGGCCAGGTTTCACAACCGTACAGTAGGGTCGAACGCACTGCTGCATTGTACACTCTACGCTTCAGGGTGAGAGTGATGTCGCGCCGGCGCCATAAGTGGCGAAGGTTAGCAAAAGCGCTCCGAGCTTTTGCTATACGCTTCGCGATTTCATCTTCAATCCCACGGGCGCTGACACAACTTCCCAGGTAGTTGAATTTTTGAACGACTTCTAGCTGATCCCCACCAAGGGTCAGCGTAGGAGGCGGTCCAGACCAATATTGGAGAAACGCTTTGCACTTCGAGGGTGCGAAGCAACGGACAGCTAGTGCTAATCTGTCTAGCGCGGCTTGGCACGTCTGGGAGCTGTCACAGATGAGGGCAATATCATCAGCATACTCTAAGTCAAGAAGTCGTTCTCCTGGGAGTAGCTCCACACCTTCTAAGTCGTGCCCTGTGAACGCAATTTCCATGACTTCGTCAACAGCGAAGTTGAAGAGGAAAGGTGACAGCGGGCATCCTTGTCTCACGCCGCTGGAGATATTAACGGGTAACGACAACTTGCCGTAAGCCCTCACTCTGACCGAGCTACCCGCATATAATGTTCGGATAATATACACATATTTCTCGGGC